ACATAAAAGATTATTTTAGGAATAAAAAATACCTTTCTATTATATCTACACATGATTATGGGATTAAATCAAATTTTCGAAGAGCAGCAAAACGGTTTAAAATGATAGACGGACATTTTTTTATAATAAAAGAATGGTTATTAAAAACAAAGAACTAGAAATGGAAGTTATTAGAGACGTACACCGAGATATTGGAGATTCTGAATACTCTAAGGCAATGGCCTCGCATAGAGAAAAAAACACTACATATGACCAAAGCCGGCGCGATAGGGGGGTGTGGGGGTGTCACCCCCCCCCCCCCCCATAAATGATTTTTAGTCGGCAAACTGAACCCTTAGTCCGCAAATTGGACCCTTGTTAGACTAGTTAGTCGGCAAATGTCGACCTTTTCGATATAGGTTAGACAGTGGGCAAATGTCGTCATGACCGTCGGCAAATTTTGGAAAACGAGGACCTTTTTTTTTTTTTTATTTTGTAGTGGGCAAAAGTTGTAATGGCACCCCCCCCCCCCCCACGTGACACCTACTCGCGCCGGCCCTGCATATGACAATATTGCGCAAAAATTTTTTTGGTATAATATAGCTGCTGATGTTAGTAAGTATATTAGGAGATGCGAACAATATCACAAACAAGGTAACCTAAAGTCTCCAAAAGTAGAATTGAAGTCTATACCAGTACCACCAAGTGTAATGGAACAAGTTGGAGTGGACATTTGTAATCTTCCAGTAGTCGATGGGTATTGTCATATCATTATCTTGATCGGTTATTTTTCAAAATGGTCCAAGGTTAAACCTATCAAGGAAAAATCAGCTCAAACTGTTTCTCGATTTTTGTACGAGATTATGTGTCGGCATGGGTGCTTTAAAATCCAAATCAATGACCAGGGTCGGGAGTTTGTAAACGAGGTATGTAAACAACTACACGAACTAACTGGAGTAGAGCAGAGAGTTACGTCTGCTTATCACTCTCAGGCAATTGGATTGGTAAAACGTCAAAACCGAACAATAAAGAACTCTTTGGTTAAGGTTTTAGAAGGTAATCTTAAAATGTGGCCGCAAATTATTGAGGTAATTCTTTTTGCTCATCGCGTTAGTCGACATTCTTCTACTAACTACTCTCCATTCATGCTGATGTATAATCGCGAACCAATTTTTCCAATTGATGTTAAGCATAGCCTTGTCGAAGACGAAAGCAATAAACAAGAACACCGAGAAGAAAATATAGACGTAGAACAACCATTCGATTTCAACTTTTTTGATGCCATCTTTTCATTAACAAGTAAAGTCAGAGCAACAATCATGGCTGATGCAAGAAAAAATATAAAAAGTTAAGAAAATATAAAAGTTGCGCAGAAAAAGCAAAAACGAAATTATGATAGTAGACATTTGTCAAAGTCAGAAATTAAGATTGTCTTAAAAACGTACTTAACTTTATTTTTATAGTGTATTTCAATAAATTGTAAATAAAGTATCAAAAAATAATCAAAATTATCAAAAAATAATATCAAATTTGAAAAGAGGTAAATCATAAATGAATTAAATTCAAAAGATAGCTGACTATTTTCTATAGACGCAGTTAACATTTTTTAACTAAACTATCAAAAAAAAAATGTTTTTACTACATTTTTAGTACTCGATTGGGCTTCCTTTGCGCTCAATTACTTGATAAATTCGTTTTTGCATACTTCCCACCAAGTTTTTCAGCAATTTTGGCTCCATATCCTCCAAGCATTCTGATACCGCTACTTTTAGCTCTGCCACAGAGTTATATTGCTTCTGGTCAGCATATATACGTCTAACAATGATTCCCCAGATATTTTCAACAGGATTCAAATCTGAACTGCGAGCAGGTTACCACATTTGCTCGATTTTTTAGCTTCAAATCAAGCTTTAGTCTCGTTACTAGTGTGAATGCTGGCGTTTTCTTGTTGGAAAACAAACTTTTTGTGTCGATATTTGTATTTAAATGGAATCAAACATGATTTTAGCACATCAATGTATTCATAACTTTTCATTTTGCAAGATGTAAATGCTAAATTTAACTTTCCTGTGCACAAAACCCAAGCCAAACCATCAAAGATCCACCACCGAAATTCCTTGTTGAAAAATATTTGGGTTCTCTCCTCAAATCACGCCAGTAGCCACTAAAACCATCAGGCCCATCAAGATTAAACTTTTTCTCGTCTGAAAAAATCACCTGGTATTGAAAACAAAAATATTCAGCTATTTAGACATCTTACGTATTCATGAGAATTTAATCTAAAATTTCTTACTTGTTCCCAATCGCGTGCCATCGAATTCCATCGTTTTCGACTTCGACATCGTGGCGAATTCCATCCGTTTCTGTTTGTGAACGGGCTTCAAACTTGGTGCTTTATTCATTTTTGATCGTACAATGTGTGGGCTGTCTTTAAGAACTTTCCTAATCGTCTCCTTGCAAACATTTAAACCCAAATCTGACTTAATTGTTTTCAAAGTTTTTGATGAATTTGATGCGAGTTGAACAATTCTGCGTTTTTCACGACTTGAAACCTTGGATTTCTTTGGTTTCCTCTTGATTGTTGCATATTCTGCTGGATTTTTCAAGAAATTACGGATAACGTGATCTGATCTCTTCAATCTTCTAGCAATTTCTCGATTTGGAACTTTTTTTCGATGAAAAGCCAATATTTGACCTTTTTCAATATCGGTAAGGATCTTTCTTTTCGGCATTTGTTTTAGTTCAACTTAATTTCGACTCACAAAATAGAAAATACCACAGAATATAAGAAATTTAGAAAAAAACTCGTAAAAACTTTAGTGCGTTTATAGAAAATTGCCACGTGAATATTAAAAATTTGATTATTTTAATATAATCAAGACAATTAATAATCAGATACATAATGGATCATCGTTTTCTTACGTATACTTATTTAAAAGTACCGTTAGAACAATTTTATTACCACTACAACACTGTAAATCCGCTAAATTCTACATACGTCTATAGAAAATGGTCGCAGTGTATTATTGAAAAACAACAAAAGATTTGATCGGAAGAGTGGGAAGTTTTCACAAAAATGGTGCGTTCCTTTCACTGTAGTAAATATCTTTGAAAAAGGATTTGCAACTTTAAAAAACGCATTGGGGTTAACTCTTAAAAAAACATACAACATTGTTTAACTTAAAACTTATATTCAAGGAACAGACGACAAATTAAAACCAATATTAGTTAGAGGATCTACATATTTTTGGAATCATGCACCAGACGAAATTGTTGAGATGATTTTGATGTATGCCGTGCAACAATCGGAGAACTTCCCTGGACACAAGTGTGATACCTACGCAAGTATCAAATCAACGTGTAGTAAGTGGGCCCGTTTAATTGAAAGAAAAGGTACTACCTTACTTCCAAAGATATATATTGATTCGTGGAAGCCTCTTGGAAAGGCCTCCGATCATAATAATGAAAGTAATACTGTAAGTACACAAATGTTAATAAAAACTTTTAGAAAATCTAGTGGACTAGCTAGCCAACTATCAAATTGCATAGGTGATAAAAAGTGGCGATCTTCTTGGCTTATCTTGACACCTCAGAAACACTCTTGGTATACCATAGATCGAATCTTCTGGAAAACAAAGGTATGTCAACCAAATCAATTATCTTTGCAAATTTAATTTTTATGGCTCAAGAATGAACTGTATGAGTTCAGAGGAAAATAGGGAAATTTTAGAAAGTAAAGATAACTGGTTGAACGACAATCTTATAGACGCAGGGCAAAAAAAAATTTGTAAGGCTCTTGTTAGCCATGAAACTTACCAATCAGTATTAAACTGCCAGAAAAAGAAGTCCACATATTTCCTAGTTTATGGCGACCACCTTCAAATATTGCACGACGGTAGTTCTCATTTGCTATTAGCATTTGCTTCAAATGGCAGGGTTCAAGTGTGTGATAGCTTGCGCACTAACCTAACATTGATTTCGAAAAAATGTTTAAAATCCCTTTTTCAACCACTTGTGAAGAATGGAAAGCTTGAAGTAACAATTCTGCCCGTTGATAAGCAAATTGATAGTTTCAATTGTGGTGTTTTTGCTTTAGGTTATGCAAGTATGTTGCTGGATGGAAAATCCCCTCTTGATGTTCGATTTGCATTAATTTAAACATTTTATTATTAACAATATTTGAACATTTTTCTATATGAGCCTTTTTGTCGAACAAGTTTTAACCAATTTTGCATTGATTATCGTGCACCCCATCTTTGGAACATAATTGTTTTGCCTAATTTTAATTTTGATCTACCTACTTCTTTGCATCTTTTTAAAGTTAAGCTGAAAAATCTTTTTCTTTCCCGTATTATCAAAATTTGGCAATAATATTTATATTATGGCAATATTTGTTAAACGTTATTATATATACTACAAAGTGGTATATGTATGTATATTTTATTTTTATTTTGTTGTACTTATAGTTACTTTATAATATAATATTTTGTTTATTTAGTATAAGGTTCTGACGATAAGATCTTACTGATCTTCTTTCAGATACCTAGTTTTTCAAATGTTAGTAGTATTTGCTAACTTTAAAATTTGTATTAATTTTTTATTTACTCTCATTATATTGTAAAAACGAACTAACAAATGTAAACTAAAATATTTTAAAAAAAAAAAAAAAAATTGTTGTGAATGAAATGCGTACTCACTATATAAAATGTTTGACAGACGCTCATTTATATCCTTTCCCAACACTTGAAAAGGCCGTCGATGTTTTATGCAACAAACCTAAACTTTTCATGATTTGATTCAAAACTCAAAATTGACTTTTCACTTGGATTTCTTTTTGACAATCTTCTTTTTTATAAGTTGAAGGTTATTATAAGACCTTATTAGCAAATTAAAAAAACAATTTTAATCCATCTTGTGACATGCAGGGCTCTCCTCACTTGACAATTTTTATAAAAAATAGGGAATTTTTTTTTTAAATAAGGTAGTGTGCCCAACCCCTCCCCCCCCCCCCTTCCCCCACACACGCACTACAAAAACCGTGTCGTCAGCCCTGATGGATATTGAAAGTATGAGACAACTGTTATTTTACACTTTAGCAACATTTTTGAATAAAAAAAAAAAAATATATATATATATATATATATATATATATATATATATATATATATATATATATATATATATATATAAGTATATATATATATATATATATATATATATATATATATATATATATATATATATATATATATATATATATATATATATATATATATATATATATATATATATATATATATATATATGTATATATATATATACATATATGATTTCTGATGAGTCTTTATTGATGAAACACAGTGTTAAATGAGAAAAAATTTTGCTAAGTGATTTTCTACTAATTTATATATATATATATATATATATATATATATATATATATATATATATATATATATATATATATATATATATATACATATATATATTTATATATATATATATATTTTGCAATATGTTCTCTATGGTTGACCCCTTGAGCAATTCATTTATCTTTTTTTAAAGAAAAACAACGAATAAAAAAAAGTAAAACTTCATTCCATTAAACTTATTCATTTCTACTAATTTCTATATTCTAAATATTTTATATTTCTACTAATTATCAAAAGTTTAGTTATTTCTCTATCATTAATTGAAAATAAAATCAGTTAAAAAATAAAATCAATTAAAAAAATTTAATTTCATCAAACAAAATATTATTGGAGTCTTAATTTACCATTATTTTACTTTCATCAATAATTTATTTGTGTGCATAGTTATACTTTTAATTCTCTTTCATTAAATCTACGTTTGCTTTTTATTTCATAAAACTAATTAAACCATTGAACTGTAAATTGTTGACTGATGATAAAGGATCTCATAAGATGTCTTTTGTAAAAATGTAATCCTTCAAATAGACTTTTTATGTGGGCTATTTTTACTTTACCACCTTAGCTAAAAAAAACTTCTATTTATGTCATTATTTTTAATACCTTGGTGATAATTTAATGCATTTATAGTCTCTTTACAAAATACTTTTAACATATATTAACCTTTTGTCTAACAATCACTCTTGGGTTAGCAGCAACATAAGTCAGCTTAGACATTTTAACCAGCTGACTAACTCAATTTCAGCAGACTTTTCAATTATCTAATTGTTTCATATATACTTTAATACATGCATAAAATCAAAAAGTAAAAAAAATGCCATCAGTTGTTAACCATAGAGATAAGCAATCAAATTGTTTTAAGAAAATGCTTGATTTACTCTATTATAATCATTAATTAAAGCGATAACTTTTCCATTTGTCTTCTTAATTTGTTTGATTAGGATATTAATTTGATTGTATACAAAATCCAAATTATTTACTGGTAACATTCTTACTATAAATTTTGTTCCCTCATAAAAGCATACAACCATGAAAACATATATAGTTGTTGCAAAACTTGATTCATTGTTTACTGCTTTACAGTTTACATCAAAAAAGCTTCAAAAGAAGGTGATCTGGTTAAAATATTTGCTTTACCAAACAAATGTCCCTGTGATAAGTTAACATAGGTTTAATATAAACTTCATCTAGTAATAACATAAAGTTTTTTTGACTATTTTGTTGAGTTTTAAAAAAACACTACAAATAAAAGTGTGAAACTTTTGAAGTTATAAGTGTCAGGAAGATAAAAATCATTTCTTCATTGATCATATAAACTATGTAACCGTGCAAAATGTTCGAAAGCTCAAACAATAACTTCAGGTGAATATTTTTGCTAAAAAATGTTACTTGAGTTCAACTTATGCATTCAACCTGCTGACGTAAAATAGTTTTCTTTTCTGACTTCTTAAAAGAAATCAAATACCCAAATGATGTGACCAACTTTTGAACTTATAAATACAACTTTTAACTAATGAAGTAATACTGAATACAACTCCAGCATGATAGATTTCATATAATAAATTATTAAATACTATTAGACATAATTTACTAATAGTATTAGTAATACCAGTATTGCTTTAATGCTCTTTTGATTGCAAACAACATCTATTCAAAAAAATAAATAAATAGATAAGCTAATGAATCATTAAGTCTTCCTTGAGATTAATAACTGTAAAATATTCTAAATGAATCAATTTCGTCAAACTCTACAAATTTTGAAAGTTCATCTTCTTTTACTGATCTGAGAGACTCTTTAAGCTTTCTAAGAGAGCTTTTACCTATTGTTGTTGTTCTTTTTCTAGTGGAAGAGATGGCACTAAACTTTAAATTAATTCAAATACACTAGGTGGATCTCGAGGATTTTCTTTTCCTTTTACTTTAATAACTAGGAAGTTTGATGGAAAATGTTTTGCACAAACTACAGTGTAATGTTTATATGGTATATTGTCTATTGGGAAAACATTAATCCATCTCTGCCGCTCTTTAAGACCTCTTAGAAATTCTAGAAGTATTTGTCTTATCTTTTACTGAGTCATAGTTATAGTTACAACCAGTTTTCTGTGCATTTTTAACATAATTTTCTATGCGTTGCGTTATTATTATTGCTTCTAATTCACTATCATTATTACTTTTGACTACTAATTATTAATTTAGTTATTAATTTAATTTACTACTTTATTATGATAGCCTTTTATGTTATCTATTATCATTACTATTAGTATTAATATAGTTATATTTATTATTGTTATAATTGTTTTATATACAATAATTGTTTTATATCATCGTAGGTCTTTACGCATCATCAGTTTTCAACTGTTTGTAAATGTCCCTCACTATTGTATATATATATGCAGTTATTAGGTGGAAATATATTGATTGATTGATTGATTGATTGATGTGATTTTAGTTCACCCTGTAGCGAAATGATTTTCAATTTCAAGTTTCAAGAGATTATTGGAGTCCTAACTATATATATATATATATATATATATATATATATATATATATATATATATATATATATATATATATATATATATATATATAATATATATATATATATATATATATATATATATATATATATGTATATATATATATATATATTATAGAATAAACTGTGAATTTACCTTTTTATTTTCATTTTTTATTAATATCATTATAGGTCTTTCAAATCTGGCATTGATGGTATGTAACACAAGTTATAATTTTGATGATGATGAATATCAACAAGAAACACCAAACAACGCTAAAAAAAAAAGAAAAAAACGATGTGCAAATTAAGCTTCGATCCGATTCAATCCTTGTCAATAAAGAAATTACTCAAGATGTCTTAATTGCAGCTACAACTCCTCTCAGTGTAAGAACCGGTTTAAGCTATCAAGATCAAACAATGTTTATAGCCAGTATCATGAACTACTTAGGAGTAGATATAAATAAAATAAAGATAAACACAGAAACCGTCAGATTGAAGCGTTATGAGGTTGTTCTTATTCACGGAAATGAAATTAGAAAGAATTATATCGAGGAAATAAAAGGAAAAAATAATGTACTTCACTTTGATAGGAAGCTAGTTAAACATTTGCATAAGGAAATCCAACAAACAGTTACAAGCGATAGAATTGCCATGTCTGTTACTAGTCCTGAATTTCAAAACAAAGATGATCTTCTCTTAGGAATTGTTCCAAGTGACACTGGTAAAGCACCTGATCAGGCTTTACTAATTTAAAATTTATTAAAATATTTTGAATTTCAGACCAAGTATTTGCTGTGTGTGTTGATACTACAGCATCTAACACTGGTAGAAAAGAGGGTGCAATTATAATATTGACAAGAATATTTCAGAAACCTTTATTGTGGTTATTTTGTCGACACCACATACATGAAATATATATTAAACATATTTATAAAGCAATATCTGGAGATAACACCAAGGGTCCACGAAAGACCCTTTACTCAAACTTTAAAAAACAATGTGAATATTTTCTCCCGTTTATATCTACTTGTGGTGCCTCTTCTAGTTTTAAAAAGTTTGACGAGAATACTCTCATAATTGGTTCTGAAAAACTAAAAAACTTTAGGATTCATCAACCAGGTGCCTGTCATGAAGCTAGATTCCTGGCAGATGCTTTGTATCACATGGTTTTGGAATTGACATCGCCAGTTATAAACTACTTAAATCAAGACCAGCAGATTCTAGTCTCTAGAGTTTGTTTAATAACTGTTATATTTTATGCTCCAGGATTTTTAAAATCCAGTCTTGCTGAATATTCAGTTTTAAATGACTTTAATTCATTCAAAATAGCAAAAAGGAATTTGATATTGATGTTGACTTCACTTTTAAACAGTTTAAAATCTCACTCCTGGTATTTTTTAACTAATGCAGTAGTCATGGCTCTTGCTGATTCTGACCTTGAAATCCAAACAAAGTCAGACATTTTGAAGGCCTTGTTGGAAATTAATAAAGAGAAACCGCTTCCTGTTTTAGTTGATGAAAATACCAAACTTTGTAAACTTGTTACCCATGAAAGCTGGTTTCTTTTTGTCGTTTTAGACTTAGTAAACGAAACAAAGACTTGGTTGGAAGCATGCCAGAATGAAGAAGGTTTAAACTCGATACCCTCTTACAAGAAGTTTGTGCTTTTTATTAAACACCTCAGTGTCACAAATGATTGTGCTGAAAGAGACATTGGCCTCATACAAAAGTTTGTGAACTCTTCACACTCTGAGGATCAGAGACAAAATGTTTTGCTGGTTGTTCGAGAAAACCGAAAAAAGATTTCAAAGAATGTTTATCAGAAAGATCTTGTTAATTTGAAATATTGCTGTTTGAAATGCAAACATGCATCATTTTCTAAACCTTTTTGTTAATTATCTCATATTGAAGCTAAACCTTTTTGTTAATTATCTCATATTGAAGTTAATAATACTAATATTATAAAACAGTAATTATGCAAACTAATATATGCTTCTTTACATCCATTTGTTAGCATATATTAGCAAAAACTGATGATAATTCAAATTATTGAAAAAATACCTCTACCTGATCCAATGATCCTAGTAAGCTAAAGTTTTAAATATAAGCTATTATATAGATGTAGAACAGGTATTTACACAGGGTATTTGCGTTTTTTGAAAAAAGGTAAAAAAGTGCAAAAAAAAATGTCACCCTAATATATATATATATATATATATATATATATATATATATATATATATATATATATATATATATAAAGAGCACATCTTTAAAGATCGCTGGTACAAGCATAAGAATTCCTTTCAATACGAAAGTAAAGCTAACGCCACAGAACTTTCTAACCTTTGTTTAACGGAAAAATACTATATCATTACATCATCTTTGAAACTATTAAATTAGCGAAATGAATTAATATTGAAATGTCGCCACGAAAACAGATTTGTTATCTGTATTTACACACCCTTGAAATATTGTATGAAAATTAATTTCAAATAAAGAGTTACATCCATAATAGAAGTTTTAATTTGATTATATTTCAAACTCTTTAATGATGTCTTTTAAAATTTATATTGAAGCCAGATATGGAAATGGCGTTTACAAAAAAACGAACAAATTAAAAAATGTTAAAAAACGTAGCGCAAAATCTAAAAATCAGTGGTTATTTTTACAAAGATGTTTACATCATAATATTTTTCCAAAATCATTATGCTTGAGATGTCCAACAAAATCAAAATATGCACTGCAACTAACAGAAAAGTATAAACATGATCTATTATGCCATATAAAAAACGAAGCAAAAACACGATATTTCCTCTTCAAAAATGAAGCTAAACTTTGTGAAGATTATATACGAACATTTGTTAACGACAAACATGATTTTCAAACTATAATAAATGTTACCAATAATTCTTATGAACGAATGTTTATAAAATCTAGAGAAAAATTATAAGAAAAATTTCAAATCTCAAGAAAAGTTGCTACATAAATTTTACGTAGCATAAACTCTAGATTTTATAAACATTCGTTCATAAGAATTATTGGTAACATTTATTATGGTTTGAAAATCATGTTTTTCATGGTTGTTGTTGTTGTTGTTGTTGTTATTGTTATTGTTTTGTTTATGCTGTAACTTTTCTTTATGATAAAGAAAAGTTACAACATAAACAAAACAATAACAATAACAACAACAATAACAACCATGAAAAACCAATTAAAAAAGTTAAAGAGGTAACACTTAATTTAGCTAATTCTGATATACCAATGCATCATAAAAAACTACTTGATCTCGGTCCAAAGTTTGTTCCCATTCCAAAACACATACCTTATTTAGATATTATAACAATTACTGAATCGTCTGCTTTAAAATTACAGTATAACAAGAAAAAAACTGAAGGAGTTAAACTAAGACAGGATGTTTTGAGAATTTTAAAAATGGCTAAGTCTATCAAAAGTAATCTAGATAAAGAACAACGTAAAGCTCTTTATGAGATTAAGAAAGATCAGAATATTACGATATATCCGTTCGATAAAGGATCTGGACTAGTGCAAAATAGTCCAAAATACAAGAACATTTAGGGGGCAAAACAAAAAAACTCAACTATGATCCAACTCCACAAATCATTCGTAATACAAGAACATTTAGGGGGCAAAACAAAAAAACTCAACTATGATCCAACTCCACAAATCATTCGTAATACAAGAACATTTAGGGGGCAAAACAAAAAAACTCAACTATGATCCAACTCCACAAATCATTCGTAATACAAGAACATTTAGGGGGCAAAACAAAAAAACTCAACTATGATCCAACTCCACAAATCATTCGTAATACAAGAACATTTAGGGGGCAAAACAAAAAAACTCAACTATGATCCAACTCCACAAATCATTCGTAATACAAGAACATTTAGGGGGCAAAACAAAAAAACTCAACTATGATCCAACTCCACAAATCATTCGTAATACAAGAACATTTAGGGGGCAAAACAAAAAAACTCAACTATGATCCAACTCCACAAATCATTCGTAATACAAGAACATTTAGGGGGCAAAACAAAAAAACTCAACTATGATCCAACTCCACAAATCATTCGTAATACAAGAACATTTAGGGGGCAAAACAAAAAAACTCAACTATGATCCAACTCCACAAATCATTCGTAATACAAGAACATTTAGGGGGCAAAACAAAAAAACTCAACTATGATCCAACTCCACAAATCATTCGTAATACAAGAACATTTAGGGGGCAAAACAAAAAAACTCAACTATGATCCAACTCCACAAATCATTCGTAATACAAGAACATTTAGGGGGCAAAACAAAAAAACTCAACTATGATCCAACTCCACAAATCATTCGTAATACAAGAACATTTAGGGGGCAAAACAAAAAAACTCAACTATGATCCAACTCCACAAATCATTCGTAATACAAGAACATTTAGGGGGCAAAACAAAAAAACTCAACTATGATCCAACTCCACAAATCATTCGTAATACAAGAACATTTAGGGGGCAAAACAAAAAAACTCAACTATGATCCAACTCCACAAATCATTCGTAAAGTTCAAAACACACTCAGAAAACTAAATAAAGCAGGTCGGTTTACGGTTAAAGAATATAAAGATCTTTACCCGAGTGATGCTATACCACCTCGTTTGTATGGAGTCATAAAAGCCCATAAACCCGAAAAAAACTACCTGATGCGAGTTATCATAAGCATTATTGGAACGGTACATACAAAATTTCTAAATTCTTAACTGATATGATACAACCCATCCTCAATAAGAACAATACACATTTAAAAAACTCTCAACAATTTGTTAACTTAGCTAATTCATGGAATATTGACAAAGATGAAATCCAAGTGTCTTATGATATCATTAATTTATATCCTTTAGTCCCAGTAAAGGAAACGATAATTATCCTTATTGAGAGGTCGAAAAATGATCCTAGTTTTACATCAAAATTTACCTTTGATGAAATAAAAACACTTTTAGATATATGCCTTTTGCATTGTTATTTTTTATTTGAACATGACATTTACGAGCTAGAAGATTCTGGACCTATTGGTTTATGACTGATGGTAGTAGTTGACGGAGTGTTTTCTACAGTTTCACGAAAGTAATGCTATTACACAAGCAATTTCCAATAATATTCAATTAAAGTCATTTAAAAGATATGTCGATGACTCCCATTCTCGTTTTAGCTCTACTGAAGATGCGAAAAAATTTTTAATACTACTTAATATCCAACATAAAAATATTCAGTACACCATGGAAATCGAAAATGAAAATAACACGCTAAACTTTCTTGATGTTACTATTATTAACAATAAAACTGGTACGTACGTTTTTAAAGTTTACCGTAAAGATGCCTTAACTATTGTCCAAATCAAACCTAACTCATGCCATGATCCAAAAATTATAAACGGAATTTTCAAAGGTTTTGTTCATAGGGCATTATATTTATGCTCTGATAATAATATTGAACAAGAGTTATTATTTCTAGTTGATGTTTTTGTAGAAAATGGTTATATAAAAAAAAAATCTGGAACATATTATAAAAACCACTAAAGAAAATTTACATAATAATAATAATAACAATAAAAACAAAATAATAATAATAATAACAATAAAAACAAAATATTGAAACTCAACATTCATCCATTGCATCAAAAATATTGTATCTTTACTGTGGATTCCAGAAATTAGCCCGAAGTTAAAAAAAGCTTTCAAAAAAGCAGGTTATACACCAGTTTTTAAATCTCCAAAAAATTTACAACATATACTTTCCACAAAAAATAAACCTCCTCTTCCTATAAATTCTTACCCAGGTGTGTACAAACTTGAATGCTCCTGCAAAAAATGTTATATCGGTGAAACAAAATTAAAAATCTCATCTCGCATTTACCAACATCAAAAAAATACATACGAAGGAAATTGGGATTATTCAGCCATAGCGGAGCATTCAAAAAATTGTCATGGCAATTTTACATGGAACAATAAAAATACCTTAAAAGTAGAGGTTAATAATTTTAACAGAAAAGTGAGGGAAGCCTCTGAAATACAGCGCCATTAATGCTCACCTTCAGACGGCGGTCTAAATCAGAACGACGGAGGTTACTTCACAACTTCCTTTTGGAAACCTACGTTTCGGTATTTAAATGAAAAGAAACTATTGCATTGATTTGTTTTGTTTTTGTTTTGTATTTAACGGTTTTTTATATATATTTATATACTTGACAACGAGGGTATCAATTATTCCTTGAAATATTGTATGAAAATTGATTTCAAATAAAGAGTTACATCCATAATAGAAGTTTTAATTTGATTAAATTTGTTATCTGCAACTTTAACGTCATCTTAGCAAACACTGTATTGTATTTTTGTATATAATTTTTGTTGTTATTATGGTTTGTATCGTCTGATAATCGCATATAGCGTGAAACTCTGAGTTATGTTACAAATTTAATTTTATTATTATTTTAATATATATATATATATATATATATATATATATATATATATATATATATATATATATATATATATATATATATATATATATATATATATATATATATATAAAATTTCTAAGTTAAGCAGTTTTCTAAAGTTTCGAAGCCATTAGATGAATCCTGTTTGAAATATATTATTTCTTCTTTTACTGATTGCTACCTAAATTATGCAAACGTTGCCTAGTGTAGCACGAACGTAACTAAAATAAATAAACTGTAAGTAAACAAAGCATGCTTTAGGGGAAATTGGAAATGTAGGTCGCTTTTTACGCATTAAGTTACTATTTATTAAGTTTTATATTCTCAAATTTCTTTTTTTTTTTTTAATTTGTTATTTAGGTGCCCCAAGAGTTCCTAACGGTCTTGTCACAGAACACCGCGGAAGTGCATTTAACTAGGAAGTTCACGCCTTCTTGCGTACCGTGATGCAAAATATGTCCAAAGCTCG